CAAAACTCATAAAAGCAATAGAAAATGTTGATATATTTTCATTATATCACTACGAAATAAACCCTGACTTACTATATATAGGTGAGAAAGTATAGGATATAACAACAGTCTTATACTATACCCCTGATATAATTCAAACAGGTAGAATAATTACAGTGTGTTAGTATACCGTGAGAGAGAGGTACCTGACCCCCCTCTCGCCGCCCCCCCCTCCCCTCCTGTGAGTAAAACTTTTCCAAACAAACTTCTTCAATTACAATTATTTTTTAGAAGTACAAGTAAGTGTCGCCTGAAGATGACACTCTCAGTTGTGGCTTAAAGCGAGTGTGTATGTGTGAGTGTGTGTGAGTGTGTATGTAAGTGTGTGAGTGTGTATGTAAGTGTGTGTGTGTGTGTGTGTGTATATGTGTGTGTGTGTGTGTGTGTGTGCGAGTGTTTGTGTGTTTGTGTGTGTGTGTGTGCTTCCTCCGTGGTACCACACGGTAACTGGGTGCCTCGTGGGCCCAGGCTAGACCAGCAGGGGATCTCGGAGTAGCAATGGGCCCCAGAGGGACGGCGTAAAGACCCACTTGAATGTGGACACGTCCTGGCGCCTACTAACCATTACCCCGCTGCCTTGCGGATTAACCTTGGAAGGTATACGGCTACAGGAGTAACCCACAAACGAAAATCTGCAGTGGAGCCCCACATCAGGCAGACGTACTTACAGAGCTCCAACAAGACCCCAACGGCGGTATAGGCGGAAGAGGTGACCACCATGTGAACCCAACAACTACACCGGCGGATGAAGGCAATGAATGATGGACAGGCTACTAAGGCGAAACCCAACAAACTGGGCTATCGGCAGTGCATTGCAACTCTCCCTCTCCCCAGTCATTGCAACACTTGCACCACTGGATCAGGAAATGGAGAGCCAAGATCTGTGGTTGCAGCCTGCGTCCTACCTCACCACATAAATTGCCTCATGCACAGCCATCATCCAGCTCATCATATTTCTCATCATCATCAAAACCCCTAAACCCCCAAAAGTCCTATGGCGACGGACGAGTGGCGACGGGGATAGGCAGAAATGACTGCCGCAGTCTCTCGTCACAACTCTGCACATGGGCGGCACAGATAAGATGGTTGTTTATGCACTGGGATCTAGGCAGCAGTGTAACCCGGTCCTGTCTGTGCAACTGAGCAGCCCTTTCGAGGAGCAACTCTGCTCACCCTACATGGGGAGGGGGCTAGAAAAGGTGTCCTAACATAGCCTGCCTAAAAAAAGAAAACCTTACTGGTCAACCGCATCCAGTAAGGTCATCCTTATGCGGTCGAAAACACAATCATAATCACAGATCCAAACAAAAACATACTATACAGTCTCTTATGGTCGCTGCGTGGAATGTCAGGACCCTTTTGGATATTGGCACAATTGAGCATCCTGAAAAAAAGAACTGCCTTTGTGGCAACAGAGCTGGCTAGGTATAAGATCGATATAGCAGCCATTAGTGAGTCTCGTCTTCCAGACGAGGGTCAGCTCACAGAACGAGGGTCTGGCTATACCTTCTTCTGGGAGGGAAAGCCTGCTGTGGAGAGGAACCGCATTTATGGAGTTGGCTTTGCCATTCGCCAACGCATCCTACACAGTCTAATTGAAATGCCTATCGAGATCAACGAGACGCTCCGAGTCTCACTGAATCACTCACGTCATGCCTTTTTCATCAGCGCATACGCCCCAACACTGAATGCAGAGGATGACATCAAGGAGGCCTTTCACGCCGACCTCGACAGAGTGCTAACCTCTAATCCCAGAGAAGATAAGGTTGTGCTCCTTGGTGACTTAAATGCCAGAGTTGGCAGAGATGCTAACATTTGGCAGGGAACCATAGGGAGAAATGGGCTAGGCAAGTGTAATCCCAATGGCCTACTCCTCCTCAGCAAGTGTGCTGCACACAACCTCACTATCACCAATACCTTGTTTAGGCAGGCCGACAAGTTCAAGGGTTCGTGGCAACACCCATGATCCAAACACTGGCATCTCATTAACAACATCACTGTCAGAGAAAGAGATCGTCTTCATCACCCGTGCCATGCGTGGCTCAGACCACTGCGACATTGATTAATTATCAGCTCGTCAGAGCCAAGCTATCATTTCATGTCGCCCCAAAACCGCTAAAGCAGCAAACCTCTAGAAAAGGTTTTAACAATAAGTGTTTGGAGGATCCAGCGGTAGCACATGCTTTCATAGAGCTGATAACCCAACAACGAACAACCCAAATCCCAGTGCAGAATGGGATATTCTCACGACTATCGTGACAAAAACCTGTTGAGAGAACCTCGGCCAGATCGAAAGAATACACCAGGACTGGTTTGATGAAAATGACCCGGCAATCAATGTACTTATCAATGATAAACGTTTTGCTTTAACTAACTGGCAAAGCAACCCTCAGTCTCGGACCAAAACTGATACCTTCCGCAATAAGAAAGCTGTAGCAAAGTGGAAACTTCGCAATATAAAGAATGACAGGTTTAAAAATAAAGCATGTGATATACAAAAGCTTGCAGATGAGCACTAGATGCAAAAATTTTTAAATTCCATCAAAACATTTTATGGGCCAATCACTCGTGGCGCAGCTCCCTTACGCTCCTCCGATGGTAACTCGATAATTAAAGATCATGAAGGCTTCCTTCAGTGTTGGAAAGAGCACTACCATTCACTGCTCAACCGAAATACTGATGTTGATGTCCTGACTACCCAGCAGGTCCCTCAGCATACAGAGCTGACCCACCTCAGCTATCCGCCATCCGTGGATAAGGTAGCTACTGCCATCAAACAGATGAAAAATAACAAAGCCTCAGAGCCTGATGGAATCCCAGTCGAGGTGTATAAAGCAGGAGGACCTCTGCTTACCAGCCGTCTCCATTCACTACTGGAGAATAAATGGGAAAAGGAGGAAATCCCCAAGCTCTTAAAGACGCCTCCATCGTCAATAATTATAAGAACAAGGGAGACCGGTCAGACTGTGGCAACTGCCGCAAGATTTTGCTGTTGTCCGTAGCTTGCATGATTTTTGCACGAGTCCTCCTAAACAGACTTCTTCCTAGGGCGGAAAACTTCCTCCCAGAATCTCAATGTGGCCTTAGACCATCACGTGGCACCACTGACATGATCTTTGCTGCCCGCGAGATACAGGAAAAGTGCAGAGAACAGCGTCATGATCTGTACATGGCTTTCATCGACCTAACCAAGGCCTTCAACTCGGTCAGCAGAGAAGCCCTCTCGTGGACCCTAAGCCTTTTGGCTGCCCCCCAAAAATTCATGGCCATTGTGAGGCAACTCCACAATGGCATGAACGGCATTGTCCTGCACATTAGCACCCAGTCTTAGTTCTTCCCCATCCAAACGGGGGTTAAAGAAGGGTGTGTAATGGCACTAACTTTCTTTTCCATTTTCTTGGCTGCCTTCCTTACTCGTGCCAGTGCCAATTTAGGCGGCGGGGTGGATATCGAGTACCGGGTGAAAGGGGGGTATTTTCAACGTAAGACTCGGTAGCTTCCATTACTGAACTTCAGTATGCAGACGACCTCACTCTCGTTGCTTACACTAAACGCGACCTACAGGAGATCTTGAGCACCTACGCAGATGTGTAGGCACATTTCGGCCTTGAGGTGAATGTACGTAAGACTCACATTCTCTTTCATGCTGCCCCTGGTTCAGACACACCTTCACCATCCATCCAGCTTAACGGTACTACCCTCTCTAATGTTACCCACTTTCGGTATCTCGGCTCCCACCTGTCCGCCACCACGGACATCGATGAAGAGTTTCAGCATCGAATCAGATGTGCATCTCAAGCCTTTGGCAGACTCCGAAACCATATCTTCAGCTGTAGGGAGCTTAAATTATCTACATAGTTACACGTATATCGAGCAGTGACCCTCCCCACCCTGCTATATGGCAGCGAGACATGGGTCACATAGAGGAGGCACCTCAAGCCACTTGAAGACTTTCACCAACGTAGTCTACGTTCCATCCTCCGAGTTTTCTGGGAAGACAAGAGAACAAATTCCAGCATCCTTGCTAACACCAACTATAGGAGCAGTGAGGCTACCATTATCCATGAACAACTATGCTGTACTGGCCATGTTACTTGCATGGACGACTGTAGACTGCCAAAGCAGCTACATTACAGTCACCTAACGAATTGTAAACGGAACGCTGGCGGGCAACTGAAAAGGTATAAAGATAGTCTTAAGACAAACCTGATAAAGTGCCAACTCAACCCTCTCACCTGGGAGTCGATTACTCCACTTCGTAACGCTTGGAGGAGCACCACACGAGGTGTCAATACTTTCGAGATAGCTCGTTTGCAAAACGAGGCAGACATGCGCCAACATCTGTGAAAAACTCTGCCGATCCCGTATCGGCCTCTTTAATCACCTTGAAACTCACCAAAGAAGATGACATCCTTAATAACTCATATCATTGTACCATAGCTGGATGAACGTCATACTCGATTCCGAGTGATAGCAAAGTAGTTGTAGTAGTGTGTGTGTGTGTGTGTGTGTGTGTGTGTGTGTGTGAAGTCATTGGGATGTTTAGCATAAGTATTCTCTGAAGGAAGTTACTTTATTAATTTAAGTGTTTCCTGTAGCATATCACATTATATAAGTGTTTCATGTAATTCATCACAATTATGGTGGAGGACGGAACAGTCATGGTGGATGAAGAATCACAATTATGGTAGCAACACAGCCATGAGAGCAACAGTCATGGTAGCAACACAGTCATGGTAGCAACAGTCATGGTAGCAACACAGCCATGAGAGCAACAGTCATGGTAGCAACACAGCCATGAGAGCAACAGTCATGGTAGCAACACAGTCATGGTAGCAACAGTCATGGTAGCAACACAGCCATGAGAGCAACAGTCATGGTAGCAACACAGTCATGGTAGCAACACAGTCATGGAAGCAACACAGTCATGGTAGCAACACAATTATGGTAGCGACACTTACTGGAAGGAGATAGTGGCAATGCCGGAGTCGCTATAGAGGACGACTGGAGGATGGAGCCTTTCATCCTCACCACAGATCCTGAGGGAGTTGAGGGACCTGTCAACGCCACTGTCAGCGCCACTGTCAGCCACACTCCAGCCGTCAGAGATCTCCACGAAGCCTCCACGACACCTGCAGGGGACGCCGATAGAGTTGTTCTCAAGTCATAACAGATACAATGGGAAATATTTCATGATACACGGTGATCGAAAAGTCCCTGTGCACCTGCAATACCTGACAAAATACCATAATTGTTCCTTTATTATACCTATATTGTTATATACTGTACTTTGTTCTACTTACAGTAAACTATACAACAAATATTATCTACATTCCAAATTTACTGTGATCATTACCAATATTTACTATAAGAAGGTATATAACAATAAATTTATATGTAACAATTATAATACTGTTAATTATTGAAGATGCACAAGGACTTTTTGATCACCTTATATTACCAGGTATGAACTAATTTCCATTAAATTATAGCAATAAAAAATGTCCCTAATTGGCAAAAAGGTCAGTTGTGTTTTAAGGTTTAATCGGGTGATTATCCCTAATTAGCGTGACACACACACACACACACACACACACACACACACACACACACACACACACACACACACACACACACACACACACACACACACACACACACACACACACACACACACACACACACACACACACACACACACACACACACACACGGATGCATGTAAGCGTCTTTCACTCCCTCTATATGTGTAAGGAGAGAGAGAGATTATGTCTAATATAATGTCAAAGGTTGAGACTAACCTGGTGAACATGTCACCTAGTAATACTAAATATTTACCTCTATTTATATCCAATGAATCAATAGTCGTTTATATAGAACCTGCGTAAAATTGTGATATATAATAAATTAATGTTAAATACTAGACAATTCCACCTATATAACCCGATCCTGTGTTAAATTAATCAACCTTTCCTCCGCCAGCACCTGTCAGATAGTTAGCATGGGAGAGTTAGGTATCTGTTGTTTAGTTCTGGTGAAGCTCTGAAAGTGTTGAGAGCTGTAACTATGCTAATAATAATGGTTGTGTAAATGTAAAATATAAGTGTGTGTGTGTGTGTGTGTGTGTGTGTGTGTTCATCGTCAGCCCAGCACGGTGGTCTAACTTGTCCTGCACTCAGCCTAGTAATGACATCACATGCCATTATCATTAAAATTATTAAGTTTATATTCTACATTGACAGACAAAGTAATATCTTATAAAATAGCCAATACAATACAATACAATCTTAATTTATCTATTACAAATTAATTTACCAGAGTTGAAACTATATTATAGGCGATAGTTTGTTTCAGTCCAGGGAAGAGAATCTGATCCTATATACTGTACGTTCAAAAGACCAAAAATTAATAGTAGCAATAATCCATCACCATTATTTATACAAGTAATTCATGGATTATATAATTCGTATAGAGAAAGCCATAACTTATTCCTGACAACCAGCGCATTCCATAACACTATTACAGACACCAACTATTAGCGCATACGAAGAGTTGCTATTGTTAAGCTGTCAGTAGAAATATTTACAAGTCACAGATTCTCGCTGGAAATAAATTATCCTAAAATAATTTCCACAATATCTGAGTCATTCATAAGCGAGTGACGGCCGTGACGTCATCAAGCTGCAAGAGGGACTCATAGTATGCGAGTAAAAAAGTATCGTTTATGTTTCTATAAAGCAAAGAAGTACTACTATTCAGGAACACTTAATCAGAAGGGATATTATGCTGGCTGGTCCTGCTCTGTGTTCCAACAACTGTCAACTCGACATAGACCATAACCATAAAAATAAATACTTTTAACGATGGTTGTTCTGTGAAGTTTACAGAACTTATTGTAGGAGACCAAGAAACTCCCTCAACTTTAATTTAATGTAGAATTTAAATGGCCCACTGCATGTGCTGTTGTTGTTGTTTTTTGGTGGGTATGTTTTCCTCTGATCTGTTTCAGTCAAAAGTGTAACAAAAAGAAAATTCACAGTCCGAAAAATCCGCTTTGGTACACATTTCTTGGCCAAAGACTTAGGCCACTACTGTGTCTCACGCCCGAAGTGATCCCAGTCACTCCACGTCCGGTGATACACAACACGTACTGTACGGGAGTTAGCGAATGTATACACATGGTCATCATTTATCGTTAAGTTCTCAGCAACTGTCCTATACTGGTTATTTACAACACACGAAAGGTGTAGCATTAGTTTTTGGCAACACCAAAGCGGAGAAGTCGAAGAAATAAATGCTTCAAGTTTTCCAGCACACTTCTCCATTACATCACTCCATGTTGCGTTTCATCTCCACCATTACCACCCCATCATGGTACTACTGTGTGGCAGCTGTATTACCATCATGGTACTACTGTGTGACAGCTGTATTACCATCATGGTACTACTGTGTGGCAGCTGTATTACCATCATGGTACTACTGTGTGCAGCTGTATTACCATCATGGTACTACTGTGTAGCTGTATTACCATCATGGTACTACTGTGTGACAGCTGTATTACCATCATGGTACTACTGTGTGGCAGCTGTATTACCATCATGGTACTACTGTGTGGCAGCTGTATTACCATCATGGTACTACTGTGTGGCAGCTGTATTACCATCATGGTACTACTGTGTGACAGCTGTATTACCATCATGGTACTACTGTGTGGCAGCTGTATTACCATCATGGTACTACTGTGTGGCAGCTGTATTACCATCATGGTACTACTGTGTGACAGCTGTATTACCATCATGGTACTACTGTGTGCTATTACCATCATGGTACTACTGTGTGACAGCTGTATTACCATCATGGTACTACTGTGTGGCAGCTGTATTACCATCATGGTACTACTGTGTGGCAGCTGTATTACCATCATGGTACTACTGTGTGACAGCTGTATTACCATCATGGTACTGCTGTGCTTACCATCATGGTACTACTGTGTGGCAGCTGTCGTACCATCATGGTACTACTGTGTGGCAGCTGTCATATCATCATGGTACTACTGTGTGGCAGCTGAATTACCATCATGGTACTACTGTGTGACAGCTGTATTACCATCATGGTACTACTGTGTGGCAGCTGTATTACCATCATGGTACTACTGTGTGGCAGCTGTATTACCATCATGGTACTACTGTGTGACAGCTGTATTACCATCATGGTACTACTGTGTGGCAGCTGTATTACCATCATGGTACTACTGTGTGACAGCTGTATTACCATCATGGTACTACTGTGTGGCAGCTGTATTACCATCATGGTACTACTGTGTGACAGCTGTATTACCATCATGGTACTACTGTGTGGCAGCTGAATTACCATCATGGTACTACTGTGTGACAGCTGTATTACCATCATGGTACTACTGTGTGGCAGCTGTATTACCATCATGGTACTACTGTGTGGCAGCTGTATTACCATCACTGTGTGGCAGCTGGTATCTACTGTGTGGCAGCTGCAGCACCATCATGGTACTACTGTGTGGCAGCTGTACCATCATGGCACTACTGTGTGGCAGCTGTCATATCATCATGGTACTACTGTGTCATGTGGTACTACTGTGTGGCAGCTGTCATTGCCATCATGGTACTACTGTGTGGCTGTCATATCACATCGGCATACTGTGCAGTGTGCAGCTCGCATCATGGTACTACTGTGCATCATGTGTGGCAGCTGTCATACCATCATGGTACTACTGTGTATTATGTGTGGCAGCTGTATTACCATCATGGTACTACTGTGTGGCAGCTGTATTACTATCATGGTACTACTGTGTGGCACCTGTCATACCATCATGGTACTACTGTGTGGTACCTGTCATACCATCATGGTACTACTGTGTGGCACCTGTCATACCATCATGGTACTACTGTGTGGTACCTGTCATACCATCATGGTACTACTGTGTGGTACCTGTCATACCATCATGGTACTACTGTGTGGTACCTGTCATACCATCATGGTACTACTGTGTATTATGTGTGGCAGCTGTATTACCATCATGGTACTACTGTGCACCATTTGTGGCTGCTGTCATACCATCATCAGTCGGGCTTTCATCTCGAGGTTCACCTTGAAGCTAAGTTAAGAGGTAAATATATTAAGGGCACAGATCAAACAAGTTAAGGTGAAGCTGAACAACTTGATAACTATGAGACGACTTTTACATCTTGTGTTGTAAAGTTCAAGAGATTTGTTCAGGGTGATGTCTGCCACCTATTGTGAGCTTTATATTGTGACTTTCTTATATATCGTTTCCTAGGTGACGTGTTGCTGCAGATATTGTACCATAATAATACGCTCCGTCCCTCCACTCACCCACCAGCGACTCGTACCCATTGAAGGCAATCGCCCAGAACTTGTTGGAGGTCGGAGAACTTGGAGTGTTTCCGCTGTTTACTTCACGTCTTTGATTCATGATCAGAGTGGTGGACCCAAGTCTTATCCCGGGCTACAATACCTTCGAGGAGAGTGTTTGGATCATTCATATATTCACAAAGAGCTTGGTGTAAAAAGTTTGTCCTTTCGGATCAACTGTTGTTGTTTATATGCCATTCTGTGCTTTAGCAGCAGAGGTATTTCAACTCGTAGTCTAAAACAAGTTAATAATCGACACAACAAGTACTAATAATAACAAAAAGGTCTGCAATGACCGGGTTGGATGTACCGAGATTGTAACGGGCTGAAAATATTGTGGACATGCGCAGTTCAATCAAAACATCATTGAAAGATTAAGTTGGGTCATGTCACAGTAGATGAAGTTATGTTATGTTAGGTTAGGTTAGGTTAGGTTTGGTTAGGTTAGGTTAGGTACAATCTCAGCACGTGACACGGGGGTTAAATTTCCGGGATAACTTCCGGCTGAGTCCTTCGTCACATTCATCTTTCATGGAGAATCCTATAAGTGGGTGAAACGCTAAGCCATAAGTCTTAGCTGACTATGTATTGATAACACGTCTACCCGCCATCTCATCACGGGTCGTCTCTATAATCATGTGTCTCACCTCAGGATGTTATAGTACAGTACAGAAGTGGGAACTATTATTCCGATCAGATGAGACACACACAGGAGGGAGAGTCTACTACCATATTACAGGGCACGCCATAGGATCACGCCAACAGGTCACGCCACCAGATCACACCACCAGGTCACACTACCAGGATACGCCACAGGGTCACACCATCAGGTCACACCACCAGGTCACACCACCTGCAGGACGCCGGCACATCTTAGCAAATATTTTAAGAGCGCCCACACGACCCCCGCAGCTGAGTAGAGTAGAGGATAACTCATCGTCGTTTTAGTCACTCTTCGGGCTGAGGATGTGGTCTACAGTCTTAAGTATTACCAGACGATAACCTAACCTAACCTAACCCAACCCAACCCAACCCAACCCAACCCAACCCAACCCAACCCAACATAACCCAACCCGACCTGACCTGACCTGACCTAACCTCACCTAACCTAACCTATCCTGACCTGACCTAACCTAACCTAACCTACGTTTCTACATTGTTAAGTTATCATGAACTTTGAATATCTACAGTAGGAGGAGTCTTCGCCTTGCCTGTACATATTATCGATACTTTAAACAAAAGGGAAAAACGAGTTCGAATTTAACTCATTAAGTCAAATGTAAAGTAATTAATCTTGATAATTACGGCCATTACAGGTATAACACTTGTCTTCCTGGTATACTGGTGCTAGTCAGTCCCTCCTGGTGACAGCTGCTTTAGTTACGCTCATTATAATGTTAGTAGCCATAAAGAGAACTTTAACCCTGAGTGGAACATTAATTAGTTTACAACTAATTCGTTCATGACACGAGGCCACAGCTACCATGACCAGATACAGGTGATCGAAAAGTCTCTGTGCACCTGAGTTATTTAACAATGTAGTTATTTAGCTCATTCTATTGGAAATTTACCCAATAAATATTGTTTGGTGATTCCAGGTGCAGAGGGACTTTTCGATCACCCTACAATAATTTGCGTTAATATGTTGTAGTGTTGGGTGTTCGGACATAACTTTTGTGTTCGGACATAACCTTTGTGTTCAGACAAAACTTTGTGTTCGGACATAACCCTTGTGTACAGATATAACCCCAGTGTTCGGAAATAAGTTTTGTGTTCAGACATAACCTTTGTATTCGGACATAGCAATTGTGTTCGAACATAAACTTTGTGTTCGGACATTACCTTTGTGTTCGAACATAACCTTTGTGTTCGAACATAATGTTAACGCACGAAACAAACCTTCTATTCGAACAAGTGAGTAAACAATCACAAACACGACCTCGAACAGCAACAAAGATTTAGCAGGAAATTCACGCAGCGGAGCATTGGCTTTGTGGGGGAAACTTCAGGTCGTGTCAGGTGGTCTTGTCTGGGTCATTAACGAGGTCCCTTGTTAAGTGTTACTCCAACCAATGGGAAAGACGCCACTGTGTTTTTACCTGTGCCAAGTAGTGATAATTAGTAGGATATTTTACCTGTTTACCTCATACACTTTAGACACATTTATTACGTACAATATCACACCATTTACTTTATATAATTGGTAATATTTGCGATAATTAACATGATATCATACCTGTTAACCTCAAACAATTAATGAATTTAATGACAAAGAAATATGATATCAAAACCAATTCATTTTAAGTTTTAGAATTAGTGAGAACTGTAACGATACCTCACTGTTCTTGGGTCAGACTTTGTAATAACTGCGTCACCGTCAAAGTTTATCAAGTGTCTTATGAAAGATCCCGATACTGAGAACGTCTTTGTCCGCCGGCTGTACAGTGCTACTCGTCCGCCACAACACACCATAAGCAGTGTGGTGAAAGAGTGAGAGCGAGACAGCGGTAAACACACGAGTCCAGTCATGTCAGTTACTTGACAGGAATAATTTCCGTCTGCGGGAAGGGAGGCTGACGACCCGTTCATAAGCGGACAAGTTGACGGTCAGGAACTCTGTGACGGACAAGTCAATGTCCGCAAAGGTAGAGGGAGTAACCAAGCTGATGTGAACCATGATGCTAAGGTGGACCTGCAGCGGGAGGAGGGGGGGGGGGGCTCACACAACTACGATTGTAAACAGGAAATATAAGGACCTGAAGCCCAGTCTAACACGCAGATGTCAGGTGGATCTAGAGAGTTACCACATCAATATCTCTGGTGAGAGAAACAGTAAGTCAACCATGGTGACCCAAGACTGAGGGCATAAAGTAGACTGCGGGTTAGTGGCCAAAATACTGAAAGAAAAACATTAAAAAAGAATTAAGCTAACGGTGGAGAATGCACAAATGGCAGGTGCTTATTTAAATTTTTGTGGTGGAATAAAACGGATAGGAAACCCACAGAGGAGAACAATGCCAAGCAGAAGCCGATGAAGAGGAGGAGGAGAAAGAGGAGGAAGAAGAGGAGGGGAAGAAGACCCGGCCAGGGAGGAACTCAACGGGAATAACCAATTATGACATTGACAAAATGTGTAATAAAAACACCAGCAGCAGCCGTCACTTATAAACACAAATTAAACTCTCAGAATTATATTAAAGACAGATTGAATGTTACAAATACATAAGGAAGGGAGTTTAGTATCCACAGATTACAGTGATTTTTAGAGAATTTACGTGAAGAGGTAACGGGTGTGTGAGGACAGCGTGTTGATATAGAGGGGAAGGTGAGCAGCTGTTAGCCAGGTCCAGAACTACGGGTGGAGAAGAGATGCTGAGGGGAGGAAACCCAGCCATTACTCTATTGTGTTCCTGTTCACTTACTTTAAATTCACCAAGTGTATATGGAAGGGACAGTATTCAGATCACTTGAGGATTTATTTCACCTGATGATCAAACACCTCAATGCTACCAGAGGGGGAAGGTTAGGTTAGGTTAGGTTAGGTTAGCATTAAAAGGTGATATAATCTGGGGCTAATCCTCACGTGACCTACATAGTCTGGAAGGTTATGTGTCATTAGAGTTGATAAGGCGTCTGGCTTCCGTGAGAGGAGGGTCGTGACTTGCTCACTACCATCAACACTTTGATAAATGCGGTTAAGACTCAGTCAGGGGCTGAGCTTGGCGTAGACTGATGAGTGTACACACGGGAGATGATGGGGCACGGTAAGATATTTCTATATATACGTTGGCTACACAGATGCTGGCGGAGATATAGTGAGGTGGAGGTACCCAGGGACGTATAAAGAATTCACAAGGCAAAGAAATAAAGTTTGGAAGTTGATAAAGATTATTCAGAAAGATGGAGAAAAAGCCGTGGCTTAAGACGTAAAGTTCAAACCCTCCAAAAACCTGGAAGTTTGTGAAGGATAAAGTGAAGACCAACATTGGCACAGCAGCTTTAGTGACCCAGGGAGAACCAAGTGTGGCTGAGGCGGACCATGAGGCTGTGTATAGTTAAGTCTGAGTCAGGTTAAAAATACTAACACTTCCTTGATGGACCAAATAACTCCTGTGCATTACATTAGAGGTCATAGGAAGAGCTGCACAGTGATATAAACACCCAGTCATCTGTTATCTTCCACACGTCTCTCGGAATTGACAGACTGCCTAAGGAATAGAAAACTGAAAATATTACTGCGTTATTCAAGAAGAGGAACCGGAATATGGCCAATAACTTGCAGACTCCACAGACGCAGGCAGCTCTGGCAAGATTTACGAAACCGGTTTAAGGAATCGCATTGTAAGTCGTATATGAGGGAGGAGAACCCACGGACTGACGAATCATAGGGCTTAAAGCTGACCATTAATGCTGAACACAAGGAGAGTAATGGTGAACGAAAAAGAGATAGTAATTATGTAACTTCTGATGACATTACCAAAGATGCTCCAATATATTGAGGCTGCCGAGAGCAAGTTGGACCTACACAGCGTCCAGTGATGGTCAGACACTCGTGTTTGGACACCTTGTTTACATCCAGACAACTATTAGCTGATTGGCTGAACGGGAGTGTGAAAAGACAGAATGTATTATATGAAGAGTGGAAATGAAGACAATTTATTATCCAGACAAGACAGAGATGGGTAATGCTTTGAGATGTCTCGTGTATGTGTGTGTGTGTGTGTGTGTACTCCTTACCACTCTTGACGTCACCTCGACCCTCGCTCCACTAACAACAGATTAATGACTATGAAATGTGACCTGAGATGACTTTAGTTTACCTCATATAAATTAGAAGGATGAATCAACCACTATGGCCTTCAGGTGAACCTTCGGTGTAGTGCTTATTAGCCCTCAAGGTCGACCTCACACCTCAGTACACCCTCTACACCTCAGTACAACCTCTACAACTCAGTACACCCTCTACAACTCAGTACACCCTCTACACCTCAGTACAACCTCTACAACTCAGTACACCCTCTACACCTCAGTACAACGTCTACACCTCAGTACACCCTCTAC